CAGAACGAAACACTGCCCGGTCCCGCACCATCGCCAGAGTCGTCATCCTGTGTGAGCCTGTTGTCGCAGCTGCTGTGTAGTCCATCTCGTAAAAGGGTCTCCCTTTCTCGCTGACCCTCCACAGCTGGGGAGTCATCTTGTGAGGCATTGCAGACGTCATCCCCAGAAACGTCCTCACTGTGCAGTGAGCACTTCATGCTCCTAGGCTTGCTGTTTGAAAGCGTGCTGCCTGTTGGGTTTTGATAGTGGGATGGAGGAGGGTTGGAGCCCGCGTTCCAGTCTGAAAAGTTGAACTGGGTATCCCTTTGTTCATTCCGCAGATAGTTGTAAAGTTTCAGGTTACTAGAGCACTTTGAAGTTAGACCCCATCTTTTCCAAATACTGTAACAGAAAAAATACTTCATTCTTCTTAATCGTTTGACTGTGTGTACAAGTCCAAGAAATTTAATCACGTTTTCATGCTTGTTGCTTTCCAAGTGCTTCTGGGTTTCATTGAGTCAGAATTTGACTCCATGGCGTCTGGTTTCCCCTTTGTTCAAACCTCTCTGATAGGCCAGAACCCGTAGATTGCGCGTGCCCTTTATGTGTGCCCAGCAGGACCCATGGATTATGTGCGCCCTTTACGTGTGCCAGTCAGGACCATGCATCACATGTGCCCTTGACCTGTTCCCATCAGGGCCTGTGGAGTGCGAGCGCCCCTTATGTGCTGGAGGAGCGTAGTTTGCCTCACGCTAGGACACGCCTCAAGATGAGAGATTTTGAATTATCTTGTTACAGGATGAATTTAGAAGTTAGGTGTTTGGAGATACTCTAAACGGCTCTCTAGCTAGGATGATTTTTGTTGTGAGTACTAATGTCAGCACCAGTCTCCTTGTTTCTCTTTGACTTGTGAAACGTAACCTTCTGAAAGTCATGCAGTTGGCTTTCAGGCAGGAGGGTGGTTTAGCTACTGCCCTGGCCTTTCTGGGAAGTCATTGGTGCTCTCCCTCTGTGCCGAGACACGGGACTGGGCAGCTTGGTGTCTACACTTGATTTCACAAACAGCGCTGGTGCCTGGGGAGGCGGGTTTGATGACACAGCTTGCTTTTTTTTCCATTTCTTTTTAAGGTGGTTGTTGTTATTTGCCATCGAGTCGGCCAGGTAGTGCTTTTAAGAATAAGATTCTGCAAGTATCTGGCAGACGTCAGTGAGAAAGTCTGTGACGTCATAGTAGCGTTTTCATTACTCTGTAAGTTCTTGTGCTAGAAATAAAGCATTTTTTTCAGCATTTCTGAACATGGGGACTTTTAGTCACTGTTCCTGTTTTATTATTAAAGAGAGAATACGCCTTGCTGTTTGACAGTCAGTAACTCCCTGTTTCTCTTTTTGCCCCACAGCGTTGTTCAGGAGACCACTTTTGATTTGGAAGGAGATGTCCACAGTGGAGCAGCCAAGCCAACAAGCAAGGTAGCTGGTGGGGCTGTGCCTGACAGGACTTAGGCGCCAGCACGTCGGGATGTCACGGAGAAACTCTGCCCACATACTTGTTGAGCCCCTTTGGAAAAGCAGGCTTCAGCATGGTCCCTTGGTGGGAGTGTGCTGTCTCCCAGTGGAGCAGAGGAGGAAGTAGCAGGCCCTACCTGTCCCCAGTGCTTCAGGGCGTTCAGCTTCCTCACTGTGCAGGGAATACGTGTCCTAGGCTTTCCTGTGTGTAGCTGACCTTCCAGGTGAAACTGCCCCGGAAAATAGCAGGTGCCTGCTCCTGTCAGCCCTGTGGGTGGGGCTCCCCTCTTCTCTGACCTTCTCAAATACTTTTCCTCCACAGTGACCCTTCTTTTTTTTTTTTTTTTT